GTAACCGATGTCCATTTGTATGGGGCCGGGCCATGTGCGTATATTTTAAATATATGTATATAATATATATATATATAGATATAACATGGAAACCTGACCGCGCACACCCCTGGAAGACATGTCCAAGGTCCAGTCGATGGCGGAGTGTGGCGACAGAAATCTCTTGACGAAGGAGGTCATCAAGCAGCATGTGCAAACGGTGAAGCACTCTCAGCGCATATGTTTTGAGCTGCGGGGATTTGATTTGTAGGGTGTCCAAAGCAGTATACTTTTCACATAATATTGGTTGTTTTCCAGTTTTTGTGTCAAAAAGTTAGCAACATCAGCGTTCTGTATGTAACTGTGGCAAACTCTTGAATATACACAACAAAAACACATATCGCATTCTATAGACCAATGTTGGGATGCCCTACGGAAAGCTTGCTTCGCGCAGGCTCTGATCTCACACGTGGGGGTTTTGCAAGTGTAGTATTCACTACGCTTGCTTCGGGATGCTGTTTGCAAGCAGCAGCAACATGTGCAAAAGAGTTCAAAAGAGTTCGTCCGCTCAAAAACGGTCAGTTCTGTGTTACAACTTTGTTGCACGCAGCCAGCAAGCGATTCGCAACCCCAGGGTTTTGGCACGCAGTGATGCGTGCGCTTGCTGACATTTGTTGGGCGCGCGCGCCCGGCCAGGTGATGGTCTTGGTCCGACAGCTTCATGGCCGAAAAGGCTTTGGCGCTCGTCGGCACACCCAAGTCGGCTTGGCATCCCGCGTTGCTTGCATGTTTTCCATGTCTTTTCCTCAGGCCTTAGATTAGATGTGTTGAGGACAACATGCAAGCTGTGTTCTACTCATGGCACATCAAAGATTTTGATCTTTCTTGAGATGCGCAGTGTTAACACGGCCAGTTCCGCGTATGTGCAGAAATGTGGATTTGCATGAGCGGGCTCTACAGCAGCACGTTTTACATGAAGGAACGTCATGTTAATTTTCACGGGTTGAACACTTAAGCATTTCGTGTACGCCTGTGAGTCGGAAGCCATGAGAACCGTGGATTTGGACCGCCTTGTACATCGCCTACTTTTCCTGAATGCACCTAAGGCAAGACACATCTGCACACATTAGTTGAAAGTTGGTGCCAAATATGTCATGTTCACCTTCGAAACAACCAGAAGTGTGTTTGACGTCAAATGATCGATCGGCATAGAATGCAATCCTGCCCCCGTGTCCAGTCCTCTGATAGGCGTTCATTTGCATCGTCATCCTGGTCTTCTTCACGAAGAACCTTCCAGCGCCAGACCAGGCCGGGCTTTGAGTCATCCCCATATCCATGACTCCCCTTCACAGGTGTCAGTGTGTCAGGATCAACATGAAAAGCTCGAAAGAGACTCACCCACTGGTTGGGGAATGTTCTTTTGCATCATGCACATGACCTCCCATTTCGATCCATTTCGAGTCAATGTCTGCTTTCAGGCCTACAACTACGCGGAGCTGTTTGCCGGTCAAGGCAATGTGTTTTCTTCGGTGAGGGCAGCCACATACACAGGGACTGCATGCGACATCGAGTTTGGGGACCACTTTGGTTTCAGCTCTGACCATAACCCTTTCAACTTCATGGGGGCAGCTGGATTTGCGTTCCTTGTTTATAGTTTGTTCAGGGAACTCCAGGCACGTTTGACGTTCTTTGTTCAGCAAGCCTTTGCACATCTTGGGTTGAGGGCAATTGTGGAAACAAGAACGAGTTCAGACTGACTTCAACCAAGGTTGGCAGTATGGGTGATACTGTGTTGTGAGGAGGACCGGTTCCTAGCAATTCTTGGGACTCCATGTAGCAGCTGGGTGCATATCAACGTTGGAACTAGCCGTCGGAGTATCCTGAACGCGGATGGTGCCGTGCAATATCGCTATGTTAGAGAAGCTAACTGCATGCTGAGCAGGAAAGGGTTGCCATCGGCCATCAGTCATGTTTGTCTCACATTGGCTGTGTTTAACGAATGCATTTTGACTATAATAGACACACCGTTTGTGGACGCCACATGTAGAGAGCCAGGGGCTTGTGGAACTTGGCTCAATATCCTTTCTGTCCAAATCCCAGCAACCCCTGAAGATCCCTGAAGGAGCTTGTTGATTATGTTCCTGTCTGCCGTCCGGGGTGGATCTTTTGGCCTCGAAACACCAACATCTTCGGTCATGGAATATTTCCACCGCTTCCGTTGGTTCTACAGAAAGCTCCGCGTGGCTTGACGTGAGAAGGATATAATTATACCTGCGCATGCCTTTCAATGTTTGGACGTTTTTGAAGCGTGCATTCACATTCCAGATTCTTCCCTTTGGCAGGCCTCTGTAAACTCGATCTGTGGTGAGAATCTCAACCTGTTGCAGCGGCGCAGCTCAGGTATACCGTGTGGGATGGTGGATGTGCCACTATGGAAGTCGGAGTGCGAAAAGAGAGAAAATGTATTCTAATAACAAGTGGATTGCAAAACTTTGTCAGGGACGTCTCACCAAGGTCGAGAAAGCAAAAATGAACTTGGATGTGAAAACAACCAAACGCATTGCCAATGGTGGATACCAGGGATCCTCTCAGCTCAAAGGTACCCAGACACCTGTCTGTAACAAGTTCGCTGCAGCTTACTTTTTTGTATATTGCTGTATTTATTCTTCGCTCATGAAGGTTACAGGCATAGGGTTGTTGGGGCTTATGAGCAATCACATGGTCGTTGAGATATAGCAACCTCAGCTATATACATTCAACCACTGGCCCAACTTCAATGCAGAAGTTACCTGTCCCCGAAGATGTTATACATGGCATGGAGGGTCCGCATCTCAGGATCTATCCCATTGGCTTTGGGAAGGAGATCGCTTCGCTCATGCCCAAGCTGGCAACTCGTGGTGAGGGAAAACCCCTGGATAAAGAGATGCCTACTCATGTTCCGGCTCACATTGCCTTTGCGGCAGCCCCCCTGGGAAGATTGGTCCGAGGCCAATCTAAAGGAGGTTGTGACTTACCTCAGGGGCAACAAGAGCCTAGAGCTGCCGCAGTTTTGGAGAGACGTGCTCCCAATGAGGTTGTGATTCAGGTATAGTGGCTTTGTTGGGTCTGGTTGTCTATATCACTCTCTGGGCCAGTCATATCAAACATCTCAAACCACTATGTCACGGGAAGGTGGTTCTCCCTTTCTTGGTTGTGTTGTTGGTGCCCTATGTATACCGACCTTTGCAATCTTCATGTCAAACTCACATGGTTTCAAGGAGAATGCACATATGTGCGGGATTTAGACATAAGTGCCCCCCACTAGTTCACCTGGATTTTTTGTGGTTTTAGTGTGGGATGCTGACGGGCGATAAACCACGTAAACTTTACATACATTTGTTGTACTTTTTTGGATTCGGAAAATAGATGAACACTTCCCGAAATAAATTGCATTCAGATTGCGTTCACATTGAGTTCAATTGCGTTCATTTTGCATTCAGATTGCGTTCAGCTGTATGTAAATTTTACGTAAAAAATTTCCCGAATCCTGAAACCCCAATGTACAACCTTGTGCGGTTCATGTCGGGAACACGTCGGGAACACGTCTGTAAATGAACAGACTTGAACAATTCGGAGATTCATAATTCGACGGTTGCAGGCTTTCCTGTCAATCTTGAGGAACATCTACCTTGAGCTGTTTGGGTCGGAAACACTGCACGAAGCTCTGTGTACAGTTCATGACCTTTGACTGTGACGGTTTTGGAAGCATCCACTCCAGTTTGCTGCACGGGTAAATTCATATGCTCATGCTTTTCTCAGGCTTTTGAAGAAGGGGTTGCGTTTGTTTAAATTTGAGACGCCATGTCAGCCAGCACGCTGCCAAGCCGTACCTGGTCGTGCAACACTTTGCTGTACGGAGCAGGGGCCTGCCAGGCTGTTGCAGGCTTGAAGCTGAGTGGAGGGGACCTTCCACAAGCACTGAAGGCTTGGTGCACAGGGTGTCCTAAAGTCTCTATCTGTGCTTTCATGATCCCATATTACAGTTGACGGACTGCTGCAGGATGCTCACCAGCTTTTGGCAGCCTTGAAAGCCAAACAATCACAGGGGGTCTCGGTGAAGGTGAAGCAAGAGCCTGTTGATCCTGTTCCTTAATTGTATAACATGCCATAGAATCATTTGCACAAACATTCATCTATATATATGTGTGCACACTGATTGAACAGTTATCCGAGGCTTCTGGCCAAGCCCGACGGAGTCCAGGTACACCGTCGATCTTTGATCAGGAAACTCAGCCCGCTGTATCTCAGCTAGATTGTTGGGGGTACATCTTGGAAATCTGCTGAAAAGGAACGCATGCCAAAATCCTGAATTTGTTCAGGATCCACACATCCATACATCCATTTATACATGGTCAAATGCTTTTGATGGACCGCAAGGTTGTACCAACGACACCCAGTGCGATTGCTGACCCTGGTTCTGCATCGGCGTCACCGACACCAAACTTGGGAAAGGCACAGGACCTTGAAAGTGAATGTCCACAGTCACCCAAACCAAACACGAGTGCATCTAGTCTATATAACACATTGTATATATGTCAGGCTTCCACATCTGCTCGCCCTTCGACTGCATCTGCCCTGTCACCGGAAGACCGTGACAAGGACCTGTTGGCCCTGGCCATTCAGAAGATTGAGGGCTTAGAGAAGGAGCTAGCCGGCATTAAGGGGAGTCGGGGAAACATGACTCCCGACACATCTCCGGCGTCTGCAGAGCCTGCGCCTTTGCCAGACCAGTCCGCTCCCAACGCTGCACCTGAGCATCGTGAGGCAGAGGCCTCCAGTTCCCAGGATGGCAAACCAGCTGCACCCGCCGCAGAGGACGATACAATCGTGACACCTTTCGGAACAAAAGTTTCTTGATTGAGATATGTTTGTTCCACTCCTTTTGCATGGCTATTCTCAAACCAGCGGACTCCCCTTTTCTCTCCGACCCCTCCATGACCCGCCAGTGATGGGCCAAGGTGCTTGGACACGATGCACTCCGCATGCGGCTTCGCCGCCTTGTGGAAGTCAAGCCGTCAGGAAAATGTCATGTAGATGACACTGTCAGGGCTGACTACAACAACCCTGAAAGGAGGGAGTGGTTGGAGTTGGCTTTGGTTGATGCCATTCGCAAATATGGCCCAGACAGGGTTCATTTCAAGAAGATCAGGGTGCCTTTGTCCAATTGGGTTACACATCTAATTGAATCAGACTGGTCTCAAGTCTCTGAAGCCAAGTGCCCGTCCAGACTGCCCAGGCTGAGTTTCTGACACGCATTGTCGTCGTCAGAGAAAAAATGCAGCTGCGTGAGCAGGAGGTCCACGGAACCTGGTGCACGGAGGCGAAGCTCGAGCAGAAGGGCTACAGCGCGTTCTTTGTCCGCAAAGCCTTCCACCCGCATGGCTTGAGAGAGGGGAGAATTGCGTAACTTGTGGATGCCTTGGTTAGGGCTGTGCTCTGGACCACTCACTATATGGGGGTATACCACATGAATCATCGATTTTGTATTTGGAGCAGTCTCAACTCAGCTGAGGAAAGACATTCAAGCCATCATTTCATTTTGCTTGCGCTTCCCCAATACACTGGTGAGGCCAGGCTCAAACTATATTTGCAGTGAAACCGATATTTATGTTCAGCTTGTTTGGAACAACCACATCTGCAAAAAATAGATCACTTTAATATATTATATATGTAAGTCAATATGACCATTTGAATCATTTGTGTTTTGTGACTTGAGACCTTGGAAGTACGACTCCTCCGTCCTTGAGTACTTCGTCGAGGATGAGTGCAAGTCGCTGATCAAGAAGAGTGAAATGATGAAGCAAACGGAGACAACGGAGCTTCAGGTCAGGGTCCCAACATGATCTCATTGCCAATAGAACAAATTCTTCAAGTCTCATACGTGTTCTGATTTCACGTTCAAGCTGCAAGTGCTCAGGACCAAGAGTCCAAAGATGCACCGGACACCAGCGGGTTGGCCATGGATCTTTGGAAGGATAATGACCCCAACGACCCAAAAACTCCAGATGTTTTGGGTGAGAAGGCCAGGTTTTCCCAAGTGCATCTGTGAACTGTCACTGCATCAACCAGCCTCGATCTAATCTGCACGCCGTCGATGGCGATGGCCAGGTTGGCGCGGACCTCGAGAAGTTTTTGCAGTCGATCCACGACAAGATCAATTCGGTCAGGGAGATGACAAAGTGGCTTGAAGACACCGACCTCCCTGCTCCAAAAGGTCAATATGACGTGCACGCCCCTCAGGGTTCTTCAGTGGTTGTCCTCTGCAGTGGGTTCAGTTCTTGCCCTTCATATTTGCTGACCCCTCAACATTGGTTGCTTAGGCTCCGCCAGGGATTGGCACAGGTGCAGAAGGACTTGGACTCCCACTATACGGTCTTTGCCGGTCTCTTAACAGACTTCAAGATGGACAACCCTGACAAGAAGAGTGAAGAGTTCAAGAAGTTACTTGGCTCTTCTAAACTTGACCAGTCCCATCATATCTGTGCATGCATGGAATTCTTGTCGCTGCTTCTGTTCAATGGAGCTCTTGGTTGAATAGCCGAGCCCCCATGCAATGAGGCTGCTGGCGAAGATCGAATCATCCAAATCTGCTGTGAAAATGCCGTTGCTCGATCAAATTTACGAAGCCATGAAAACCCATTCACCTATGGCAGTGTTTTCAACCCGCAATCGCAAAAACACCGATATAGATATATTTATACCTGAGGTGTGTGAAGCTCATGTCCCTTGAAGTCGATTTCAAGTGGTGGGCTTAAATCTTGTCGAGTTCATTCTGCTTTATATCGTTGTCCGTGTGTGTACAAATATGAATATATAAGTAGATCATTTTTTTGCTCGACATGCCCATGCAGGCAAATAAAGAAGACCTTCACGAAGCAACGCCAGTCGGAGAAGCGGAACAAGGGGAGTGGCGGCCGTGCCCGTAATAAACGGGAAAAGAAGTCTGATGCCAAAGGCTCTGACGAACACCCGCCACCCGCAGAAAGTGAGAAGACTCCAAAACGGAAGTCTACCAAAGCTGCGGCTGCCAAGGGAAAAGCCAAAGCCAAGGCCAAGGCCAGGGAATCTGTGGAACCTGAGCCGCCGGCAGCGCCAAAGAGCCGCAAGCGTCCCAAGCGCGCAGCCTGATTTGACAATTCCATTTGGTTGGTGTCTATCTGTGGGAACACCTACAGTGGGGCACAGCACCTACTTAGAGGGTTTGCTTTGCTTAGATGGGGCTTGAGAAAGTCCGTGCATGTGAGGACACATGCCTGGGGATGTCGCAAAGGAATGCCATGCACAAAAATGTTGAGCACACTGTGATTGCAATCGGATTTCACTCACCATCACTCACCCTGGGGCTGCCCTGCCCCATCATCAAACAGATCTGACATTGGTATGCATGCCAGGTCCCTCGCGGAAGGCTAAGCATCTGGCATGGAGATACGGCAGGGGCGAAGCTTGGCATTTAAAGCGCATGTCGGAAATTGAAAAGGTTGTCCCTTCTGAATTTAACGTTTCTTGATAGAGGTGACCAACTCGTGAACATTTCAGGGAACCGATGTCATCACATGACACTTAAAGGATCGACCTGACATATCTTGCACTAAGGAATCTTGCGCTGAAATTGTTCGATCCGCCAGAGCAGACTACCTAGATTTCCAGGACCAGATCCTCAAAGGCTGCGAGGCAGAGGCTTGCCCAGTGCTGAAAGCCTTGCACACCCTGTCAGAGAAGCACGCAGTGGCTTGGAAACAAACCTGCAGGTTTTGAATCGAATCCATCCACCCCCCTATTGTTTCGCATATGGGTCCTCCATTCTTTTCCGAACATGTTGAAAGTGTTGAGGAAGAAGGCGTCTCCAAAGTGTTCCATGCATGGGGTATGGCATATTCAGTCCGATTGAGCTACGATTGTGTCGGAGATCATTCTCAATTTCCATGGATTCGACCCACGGACATGATCAAGAAGCTGGGTACTACAGGTGACCTTCGCATGCTTCTGGCAGGTTGTCACAGCATGGCTGAGGCCAAGCCTTTGCTAGAAGAGTTTTGGCATCGGTACAAATGCATATACCCTAACCACGGGCTGTTCCGGAGGATTCGGGATTCAGGAGGGCGTTTGAGCACGTCGTCTTGCCTTCCAATCCAGGTGCATGGAGATGAAGGCACCACATACAAAAAGAACGGTGTTTTAGTCATCCAGTTCTCTGGGATATTTGGATACGGCTCGAGGAAAACTATGGCAGATGAGCAGTGGGAAGATTGGCAAAGGGATGTCAAATCATGTGGAATCCCCCTCAACCACATCAAGACTGCTCTACAAACAAGGTTCCTCTCTTTCCTTTGTCCACGGGACTGGGTGGCTGAGAACTAATTTTGAAGTTTAAGTTCCGATTATCTGCAAACATTTTCCCGTGAAAGAGTTAATCGGCCCCTGCACAGGAGATGTATCAGTATGACCATTCGGTGTACCAGACCATCATCAAGCTTGTTGTAGACGATTGGAAGCGTGCTGAGGACTATGGCATCGAAATCCCTGGACACGGAAAGGTTTACCCTATAGTGTTGGGAAACAAAGGCGACTGGTCCTATCTTGCGGCCAGACATACATCCACAGCATTCTAACGGTTTTATTTTGGTTTATCCCTTTATTTGGGGGCTGTTGTAGGGACAAATAAAGTATATAGGTGTCTTTCATGTCTGGGAGGGATCCTGCCCGCTTGGATGATTTCGGTGGGTCCGGTCGTGGTTTGACGGGCTGGTTCAGGTCTAATGGGATCGATATTGAAACCGTTTATGGCCAGTGTGGGTTTTACAACAATGGGTGCCTCAAACTTTATGTTTTCGGACATTAGTGGTGGCGGACCTACAAGTTTGTGGGAGGAGGGACACTTGAACATTATCAAGTTTCAACACGATGCTGCAAAAGCGTTCTATCGTTTAAAACCAAGGGTTCATTTTGCGCACCCCTTTCCGTGAAATTGGTCGACCTGCACGCAAAGGTATCATCGGCTGGATTGGAGCGATCCTATAGGCGAGCGCCGCGAGGGGCGAATCAAGCGAAGAAGAATTTGAGCGACCCTCCTGGCATATGCCACCTTTGCATGGGTGGTACGAAAGAGGGAGATTGGGAAGATTTGACCCTTGTTTTTGGCAATTCAATCACGCGTTCAATATTTGTTTTAGGGCTGATGTTAGACGCTGATTATGACTTTTTTGGCGCATGTCTTCCACGCAAGGGATGTCGCCACAAAGCTCATTGCCCATGCCCGGTCCTCGCCAATTCCTCCCCCTTGGGATGAAGCACCACCATGGGCGCAGCTCCTTCATGACGAAGATCCAGGAGGACTTTCGCGCTTTCATAGAGTTGATGTGTGGCACACTTTTCACATGGGTGTTGGAAAAAGCTACCTGGCATCTTGTGTGAGCATGGTGCAGCACCTTACCGGTGAAAGCAGCGTGGACAAGCGAGTTGAAGCCATGAGTGTTGACTTTTTGGATTGGTGCGCCAACAACAAGAAGACAAAGTACTTGAAGAAGCTGGAACCTAGCACTTTTGCGCTGAAATCGCGAGAGCCTCACGGCAGCTGGAACAAGGCACATGTTACAAGTACATTGATGGAGTGGCTGTCGAGCTTCTTGGACAAGCATAGGGAGACCTGCCAGTCTGACGTAAACCTTCGCTTGATTGCTTCCTAGCTTTTTACACATCATTTTGAGTTTTGAGGTAGTATGCTCGAAATGTTCTTTGGATGGGTTTCTGAGAGGAAACCTTTTTGGGAATTGCAGTTTTAATTTATCTCCATCCGCTTGAGATGTAAGGTTTCGGGAACTGCTGCAATGAACAGGTTCATGAGAACTCTCTACGGCGAGGGTGTCTTTATACCCAGAAGCCGTGCTCTGCAGTTGGTGAAAGACGGACAGCACTTCTTGCGGGTGTACATGTTCCTCGCGCACACGTCCTTGTCAACGGGGCAATGTCTGTTCGCTCTTACACCGAAAGTGCACATGCTACAGCATTTGGTGGAGGAGGTTCACCACCAGTGCAGCAAAGCTGACTGGATTTGGAATGTGCTAGTTGACGCGTGCTTCATAGAAGAAGACTGTGTGGGACGGCTGGCGTACCTAACACGGTGCGTGGATGCCCGTACCCAGACTTGTCGCTCAATCGAACGATATCTAGTTCAGCTAAACGTGTGCCTCAGCATGCGCTGAGAAGAACCGAGGGAAGGGTTGAAGGGAAAAGGACTGGGAGCTTGCAGGGTTGGAAGGGATGTTTGGTTCGAGGCCCACAAAACAGGCAGTGTCCGAATTTAGGAGGACTTCCCGAATTTCATGCATATAGAAACATCAGTGCAAAACCCTATAGACGGACGATAATCCCAGTAGAATACGATAATTCCTGCAGAATCCGAAGAGATCAGCCAAATCCATGAATAAGTTGTTATTTTACGTGTAAGTAACAATTCCAACTTCTTTGGGGACCCAGGTAGTAGCTTCTTGCTCCTAGTAGTACGGCCAGGAGCCCCTAGTAGCGTCCTTGCTCCTAATAGCGATGGCCTCCACCCCTAGCGATGGCCTCCAACCTAATAGCGAGAGTTTGAACCCGAATGCAGGTGACCTTCATCAACGGTGCGCTTTGCTTTGGAGAGGACCCCGCCGAGCCACCGTGCCGCGCGCGATCAAGCGCACGCTGGCACGATCCACACGCTGTGCCTCGCACCCGGCATCGCACCGCTGGTCCATACCACCAGGCCTCGGTGCTCGAAGTGGCTGGAGCTGGGGCTGGTGCCGATGAGGTGCCACTTGATCAGTGAAGTTCCAAAATTGGGATCAAAACCAGGCAGAGACGAACCCGCCTCGAAGAAACAAATCAACTAGTTGTCATTTTGCGGGGTCAATGTTAGTTTGCGTAGGAAGTGGGAATACCACACGTGTATGTTCTTTGTGTTTGTTTGTTTGTGTGTTCGATGACATCGCCACCCCACCCAACCTTTGCAATAAGTTTTTGTTTCACATACTTTAAGCTGGCTTGGGTTTACAGGTATTTCCACACACACACACACTGATTCCACCATCTGAAAGCATTGCGGAACTTCAAACAAAACAAATTGAAATGATATGGCAGAGACTTCAGGTGGTCTCGAAACAGAGGACCGTACGCAATCCATGTGAGTGTTCGCTGGAAATCAGTGGGGGGATCCTACGTTCATCACGGCCGTCTCCGGATGCTGGTCTCATGCGCGGAGGCACCGAAAGAAGATGCTAAGACACAGCCGGCATTGTGCCTTACCGGGAGCACTGGGAATGAGATGCACGGTTCATGGGGACGGTTCAAACACGTCCAAAACCCATTGCAAACAGTTATGATTTAGTGTTTTTTGGGCTGACGGCTTTGTATCTCCACATGTCCAGCCTTGCTTGTTTTGCTTGACCTTTGTTTAGCAAAGTTTGGGAGTTGCTCAGGTACTATCATTCTGAAATTGGTTTCATGCAAATCAGCAGATGCCTCTAGCACAACGCCATTGCAAGCACATTTGCTTTGCTTAGTCATTCAATTACTATTCACTGCGCGTACTACACCTTTGATCCAGCTGAAAGCACCGCCAGGACCACCCATGTAGTTCCTACAACACAAAACCCTTAGACAAGTTTACCATCGCACAAAAAAGGACAGAGTTCGGGAGTCCGAGTCGAGTCGGACGAGGCAAGACAAGACGGTGCGGCAGTGGGAAGCGCTCCAGTCATCCGAGTTCGCGCATTTGCCGCGGCTGCCAGCCCCGTCACATGGCAAAGTAGACAGGAATTGGTCGGTGCAATGTGTGCGAAGGTCTAAATGTTTCCAACGTATAGCCGCACATCAACAAAAGTGCTTGGCCTGACAAGCAAATGGGAGCAATGAGTTCAAGTGATTGAAGGTGGTACTAGGAAAAGTTTGCCCAAGGTTTAATAAGAAAGGGATGCATGCGTGACATGTCAGTTTATCATCTATGTTCGCTGCGAAGAAACACACGGGATCATCCACGGAGGTGCAGAGAACACCCTTTGTTTGTGTTTTTCGATTGTGGTGCTGATGGTTCCACCTTTTCTGCTGTGCGGTTTGCTGTCCAAGATTGATGGATTGGACTCGGACAGACGGATTGATGGAACAGCCAAAACTTGGCTTCACCCAGTGCAGCAAAGAAGCGGAAGATAAGATAGATAAGAACCTAAACACATGCACAGAGATGTGTATCTCAGATCGGACCCTCACCACCGCCCACCCCCGAAGGGTTTGCCACGATTTGTTGATACCAGGGTGACAGGGTGACTTGCGGGGTCACCCCGCTTTCAGGCGGAACTGGTTCCGGACCGAAGCCATGCTTTTGGAAACTGCGCGTGCGTCTCAGGTGGCTGAGAGTGCGATCGAGGAGCGACGGAGGCATCTACTTCTACAACAAGGCCTAACGTGCAGATGGACAGGAACTTTCGCCCCCAGAGAAGGGTTCAATTTGACCACACGGGGTTCATAGTAGGTTGGAGGCGATGCCTTTTGCAGAGACATGTTGTTGGCTGGGGCTAAGCCCAATTCAGTTATGTAAAGGGATGATCATGGAAACCTTATCCCCACAACTGTATCAGCTGTCTTGTGCTCGTCGTTGTGACTCAAAAAATCAGGTCATATATCCCTTTTTCGCCATAGTCTTCTTGCTGAGGCCTTCGTCAATTATGCAGGGACCTGTCATGTTTCTCTCTATGGAGCCATGGCATGGCATTGCTGGAATCGGATATGAGAGTACAACAAAAAGTGGAAGATATGCGATACATACCTGTATGTTTGCCTAATTTCTACAACGCATCCCACTTACTGTAGTTTCTAGACGTGTGTCTTTGGATAGAGTAATTATAGAGGTGCTTCTTGAACTTTTTCACATTGACAACGTAACAGTAATGCACGTCTCTTGTACGCCCCTCCGCTGTTCTTTCTTGATGTTGCATCACCTTCACGCAAAAGCTGGGACCGAGCCTTGCACAAATCTCCCTCCAACAGCCGCACATTCGCCATCGAAAAGCCAGCGACCAGAAGGCTGTAGGACTCCCTCAGAATCGTCAAGAATCCAAGAACCTCATCGTCCTGACAGGAGACGCGGAAGGCCAGTTTTGTCGAACCACGAGCACCTGCCCCACATGCGCCGCTTGCGCCGCCTCGGCCGGCACCTGAACCTGTGGCAACTACTACACCAGTGCCGACACCGGCAGCAACATCAAACAATTCTTTGCCGCCAGGTGGGGTCTCTACATGTCTGAACTTGAACTCATTGATATTAGCTGGCTGCCTTACTGAGAAGACTTCTTTGTGCCTCAATAATTGGTTTTTTACTATCTACTTCCTTGGTTCCTATCCATGTTCAGTGTGCGCTGGGACATGGTACTGTAATTCAATTGTCTTCATGAACCCAGCATGTGTCTCCCGGTACACATCAAATGGAAGATGAGGCTACAAATCTGTTTATGGTCAGGGCTTGCATCCCAATTGCATCACATGAGTAGCATCAAACATGTGCGTCACAAAAAAATGAGGGACAGGTTTATCATGATGCATAAAGTCATATAAGGATCATCCTCTCCCAACTAGCAGGAAACTTTGCACGCAACATGAGAAAATGACAGTTGTGGAAGCAAGAATACGTTACGTGGTAATGGTGTAGCAGGGAAATGCGAATACGATGTTGCTCGTCGTTGACGGAGATTGGTTTCGATGAACATCCAGGGGAAACTTCCCCATGTGAAGGGTTCGCCGAAAGCTGGGGATACCTGAACGAGACCCTTTCAACACAGCAAGTCGGGTGTCAGACAGACGGGGTGTAGCACCGGCGCCTTGACTCTCGTTTTTGTTGTTGACGCCACCCCAAAAACCATACCAAGGAACGTTTGCATGGTTAGTGTAAGCAAGTATTCTTTTGTTGGCTCACTCTACTCGTAGCTTGCATTTGGAGGATTAAGTCAAGCCTTGCTCTTGAAAGGCAGTTTTGCACACAGATCGACTAGCGGGCCTAGCGGGGCCACGACATGTGTTTGGCTGTGTTTTAGAGCTAGTCCACAATCCAATATATGAATGAAGGCAAAGGCCCTCAGAGCAAGAAAGATAAGTTGGCTGGGAATCGTCACGAGCACTGGTTTGGTTTTTGCAGGCTCGGTTCTGAAGGCGGGCTATAGACGACCATTTGATTGAAGCCTCTTTTTCATTTGCCATGTACTAGTAACAAGTGCATCGCTACTAGTAACAAATGCATCGCTACTAGTAACAAGGGCATTACTACTAGTAACAAGAAGCTGTGTCACCGCTGTGTGGTGGTTGTAAGATGATGTAAGCAACTTCTCGGGATGCTGGTGGACGCTGAAACACAACGTTTTGACCGTGATACGACTCCTCCAGGTTGGACGCAGCACACCTCCAAAAGCAATGGGAAGGTTTACTACTTCAACAAGGACATGCCACGTCAAACGGAACAGGAACAGGATCTACACGTTTGGAGGGCAGCAAGTGATTCTTGCTGGCTTGATATGTTGCTGTTTAACTTCCGGTTTGGAGCAGTTGATGTGATGTTGATGCACCGCCTCAATGAGTTCGGGAATACCCAACCATGGCCCATCGCCCACTGTCCATGGTACTGGTGTTTGGGACCGCACCTGTTCTTGTGGGCCTCGTTTTGTATAAACTAATGAAGTCAAACGCTTTGTCACTGGCACCAGTTTAGCATCACTAGCTGGCTAGCTAACATGCAAAATCATGCAAAATCCCTTTGAGTTTGAGTCCACATAGCATAAGCAGATACATTATAATGCATATATATAACAGTACTTCTTAATTGAATATTATGCTGATTATATACCCGCGCTGAGACGGGAGCTGCGCCAGGAGAAGAACGTGTCGAGCTACTACTTTCCGCGCTCCTGAGAAAGAGCTGAATTGCGCACCAGGAGGGTCCAAAGGGTGTGAGAAAATGATGTTTCGGGAATGGGACAAAGTGTTCCATTTGGTGTTTACCCTGCAGGTTGTCAACAGAGCTCCAACGTGAAGGGCTTCTTCAAAGTAGAGCTGGATGGATTCAGTTTGTTCTTTTTCTGCCCACCCACTAAGTTCATGACCCCATTGTGCGCTGCAAGAACCACGTGCTGCGGCACTGGAATCCAACTCGGCAAGTCATTGCTTGCGCAAGCCATTGAAGTCATCAGACATCATCAGACACTTGGAGACGCCCGAAACTAGTGCAACCACATGTTGATCCTGTTTCCATGTACCTTTCAGTAGAGGGAGGTCCAGCTCCTCTTCATATCGATGTGGTGGCTTCCTGACCTTGTCTCAAAAGTTTGCCTGGCTGGTGAACAAAAGACTAGAAAACGGGGGAACACCTGACCCTTCCCAGGTGATCAGGTGCAAGTTTCGACCATCCACCGCATGTGTGGTAGTTACCGGTTTTTCTTGGTCACGGGTGACTCTTTGCAAGATGGACAGTGCGCAAGGGAATGGAGCCTTGAAAGGAATGCATCACGCATTCTGTGCATCGATGGTTTTTCAGAACACCATGAACCAACGTAGCTTCAAAGACTTGCATTGGCCACATTTGCTCGGGTGATGCAATGTTTGCCTGCGGGGCGAACAAAAAGAAGCGCACATGGGCCGGGTTAGGGTTGCTGGTCATCGCTGGTTGCTCTCAGTATGAATAGGAACAGTTCATGGTCATTTAGGTATCCCCCCGGTGTGCTCCTATGATCAAATTCTAGCACAACCTACAGGTCTGCAGCGGTGGTGTTTGGCATGTTTGGCTTGTTCACAGAAGACTGATCAAATGCTAGCTGCATAAATGCTCAAAGGGCAAAGACTCCTTTCCAGCGTACGGTCCGTGCTGCCCGAGCTTATCATAAAGTTCCTCTCAACAGGTGCAGTAACAGGAAGATCAACATACCTCGCGCATGATTTGACTCCTTTCTCAACTCAGCTCCCTTGAATCCTGCGAAGTCCAAGGTACTTTGAAACCTGCATTTTGACCTCAGGGATGCAGGAATCCCAGGCCTGACCGAAACCTCACAGAGCAGGTAGTTTCAAGGTCCCACACATATTCACCCCGTTCGTAAACTCAAAGAGAGCTGTGTGGTAACGCTTCAGGGCAGATGTTACTGCTTTTTCAACTGGAACCGAGTTCGACATGGACTCCACGGGCTTTGGCCTCCCTCGTATTGCAGATAAGGGCCTATTCCTTGCACTGACTGAAGATAACCATTTGAGGCCTTGAGAGGTGTGCATGAAGTGAAAAAAAAGCAACAAACAAAACTAAATACCATTGTGTTTGGACAGTTCAGTTATGGGTCGAATAACCATTTAGTCTCAGGACCATTGGTCAATACATGGCTACCTATCTACTTACCTACCTACCTCCCTCCCTGCATGCATACTCATATGTTACATATTAGTCGTTGGGCTTCGTTTTGCTTGATTTGCATTTTTGCATCCAATCATCTGTTCCAAACGGTAACGTTTGCAAAACGCTCCAAGAGCTCCGTCGCGGTGTTTCATCTAGGGCTCCGTCTCCAGAGATATGCGTGTACCAGGGGCGACTCCAAGGGAGCCCTTGGGAAGTCCCTTGGACCTTCTCTCCTGCACTGGATGGTAAGTTTTGGATTCTCAAGTTGTTTCTTTTTGTCCAGTGGCAGGTGTTCACCCTTCACCCGGTTTGATTGATCTCGTGGCATAGAGGTCCAACTCTGGTTGGCTTTGCGCAGGATTTGTTCCACTCTGGGCTCCGAATGGCAGGATTGGTCGGTGAAAGTGTTCTATTTCTGCGGCGTGTCCAATGAGAAAGTAACCAGCAGAAGCTCCCCTCAAGGGAAAGCAGCAAACTCAGAAGATGAAAACTGAATGCAAACATTTGCTTCTCATGCGCTGGTGTCTAATTAGTCCTATGATCACCAACGAATAACAAAAGTTCTTGTGAACTGTTGAGTGAATTCTCGATTGGCTGGGCAAGCTTTGAATTCCCAGCTTCTTTGCCTTCCCTGAAACACTTTCAACACGCAACTCGCCTGGTGTTTCGCGTAACCGCTTTTGCATCGGAGGCGGGTCGCTTGGTGATCCCTTCCACTTGGGCGATGACTGCGGAAGAGCCTCTCAGACGAAACTGGTTGTGTCACATGTCCTGCACACATCCATAACCTATCACCTTCATCGTTGAAGGGCTTATTGATCCAACATCATCGGTATGGATACGTTTTTCAACAATTGAATGTTAAAGAAACCTTGGTTTCCCATGTTTGCAGGAAACCTACCAATTAAAACCAGCACATATCCCCAGAACCAGTACAGGTTCAGCAACACATCCATGGCGCAACTGGTATGCTCACAGCATCATTGGGCACAGAGAGATTCGATCGTCCAGACTGTTGAGCGTGAGTGGAGGGTGTTCTGCACAGCTTGGGAAAACAGACGAGCTGTGACTCGGTAACTTAAATAATTCGTGTAATTGTGCAAATGCTCAGTCATATCAGATGTCCTTGTCACGAAACGGGAATGGGACATGAACCATCCTGTGGTTTACGACATTGGGCCAATGGCACATTGCATTTGCCACAATGCCACAGATATTATGTGAATTTAAAAGATATTGGTAATTCATACGTTGCTTGATGATAATTACATTAACTTAATGTTTTTTGTTGAAGGCAGCCACTTACAAATGGATATTGGTGTGAACGAACTTGTATTCAGTGAGTATTGACACCATGGACTATGTAGCCCGGCAGGACCACCACGAGCAGCACTGTGCAGACAAACACATTTGGATAAGTTTGACTGAGTACAGTACAGGTACTTAATGATACTTTAACTACGGGGAGTGATGTATGTAAATAAGAGTAAATAAGTATATATATATGTATATATATATATATTATAGAGTTTAATATATATATATATTTTTTTGGAAGAAACTCACGAGTCGTCTTTCCAGCCGGATGCTACCTCTTGAATCCTTTTGAAGCATAAAGGAAGGAACATGTTCATTGTTCCAGATTTACACACATCCCCGCATCCCTACTCTTAAGTTGAGAGCCTTGACGGGAAAACCCCCTCCGGATGCTTTCTTTGGGGTTCCGAAAACAGCGACCGAGGGCGGCAGGGAAAACTGTGGCCCTCCGAGGTTTCGAGCCTTGTTGCAGTTTCTCTATGCCGGCGATGACATCTTGAGCGCGGGGACCCACCCAGAAAGTGCTTGGACTATACCGGACCCACAATGGACACATGTTGCTTGCCAGATTAGCCATGCTGCTTGGACTAGAGACATTCAAATCCCATGTTCATGTCAAGCCTTGCTCGTCGAGCCGATGAAGACTTCGGCCCGTCGGGTCCTAAAGCTTCACACCGTGCTGCCGACCGGGAGCCGGGTGAAATTTGTTTGGGGGGAACGTTTGGCTGATGATTGGGTTTGGATTGGCAATTGATCGTCCAAGATCGTCCAAGCATGTACATATTGATATGCATAGTATGCATGTATTACTAGAAGATACTAGAAGTATATTAGATATTATATTGTGTTTTGTTATATGTGTATAACTCTGTATAACTTTAACTAAATCATCAACATCTCTACAGTAAAGCAAGTCCACTTGCAACTGGTGCTTGTCCAATCTGCAACTGGGTATTTGGTGTGGAAGTCAAAATCTCCGCCCGACACCTGCAGCTGTCAAGCTCTCCCGCACTCCCACGGACATTTTTCATCACCCCAGTGCAGTGTCAGCGTTCAAGAACACTGTAAGATCTTTCATGATCTTTCCTTGGATCCCATATGGATCTCACAACCCCAAAACTCGCTTGACAGCACGGTGTGACTTCGGCCCTTCATACATTGCCCACCTTGGAGTCTCAATGTTTACTGCATCCAAAATCCTCAAAACAAGACAAGCACATTGTAGGTTTCTACTAGTGCCATCAAAGCTCTTCCTTCGAGCTGCGGCGGCGTAAGATTTCAGTGCTTGGCCAACCAAATTATGGTTCTTCCCATCCTTGAAGGCAACAGAGTAAACCTGAGTTGAAACAAAGAGTACGAGAAAGCAGCTGACATCAGCTGATTAAGCTGACGTTAGCTGACTTTAAATGAAACCAGTGCACAGGAACACCAAGAATATAGAACGGACGAAGACATCACTGTCAGGAAACCGAGTGCATCTTCTTCTCAACCCAATCCTTTTCTGCCCTTTTTGTTGTTGTTTTCGAGTCCGAGGTGGTCTTTTGTTTTTTCTGGTTTTGCGGTTTTGACTTTGCTTTTGACTTTGCTTTTGCCTTTGCTTTTGCTTTTCCCTTTCCTCTTCCTTTTCTGGTTGGGATCCCCTTAGCAGTTGGGACCTCTTCAGTTGGGATCTCCTCAGCTGGGACCTCTTCAGTTGGGATCTCCTCAGCTGGGACCTCGTCAGTTGGGATCTCCTCAGCAGGTGGGACCTCCTCAGTTGGGATCTCCTCAGCAGGTGGGACCTCCTCAGTTGGGATCTCCTCAGCAGGTGGGACCTCCTCAGTTGGGATCTCTTCAGTTGGGACCTCCTCAGTTGGGATCTTCATCTCCTGGGTAGAGATATTGTGGAAATGGTATATCTACGGGATGAAAATGAGACTCACAAAGCCGGCTCTCCTTGGAGTCATCAATTGGAGTCCAGGCCCCATAAACGAGGGTTTCTTGAGTGTCGGTGCCACCCAAAGCCTCCTGCGAACACATCAGCATCACACAGCATCAACATTTAACATTGAGGAGGTAAAAGAAAGAACAAAGTGGAATTAAAGTATACACATTCAAATAGCGCTGTCATTGGGATTGCAAAGTGGAAAGTAAAGACAGTGGCCGTGGAAGCCAATGCTTGCATTCCCCTCTAAACGCAGCGCATGCAAACAGATAACAAAACTGCCTCATGCGCGGTGGGACTTCCAAATAGATCCTCTTCATCCTCCTGCCAGCACATGGTTGGTGCAAGAACGAATATGGTCCTTTGATGCACAACTATAACTAGACAACTAGGCACACTAGCTTCCAAGACTTCCAAGCGGTTTGACGCCATGATCATGGCCTGGAACAAGGCTTTTGGGTCGAGGAGAGCGCTCAAATCAGCATGCGCCGGAGCACGCTTGAAAGCCTAAGGAAGTTTGAAGTAGAACTGTAGAACTGACATTCCTATCATGAAGCTTTGCGAAGCTAATTTGCAAATTAGGGACAGGCTCTTCTGAAGATGGAAGTCCGAGTTGATTGTCTGGGTATTCGATCATATAACGGTCGAAGTACAATCGGTCCACGCTGTCAAGGCTTGGAACAAACTCCACATCCTCCACATCCAAGTCGGTCTTTGCTGGGGAAGCGCCATCAAAGAGCCTTCGTTTGAAGATGCTTGAAGTAAATTTAACATTTAAGGGAGATAAGAACCATGTGTCAAATAGAAGGCCCAAACAACCTTGTTCGTTCGGCTTGGTTAGGTTTGAAGCTTTGTTTCACTGTAAGGCCAACAAATTGACAAGTAAAAGTAGGGCCAACACTGTGAAGCAAAACGGCAAGACACATTGGGTCTGTTTGGTTGTGTAGCTGCCCCTTCTCCAGGATGTCCTGTGGCCTCGATGTTGCGGGAAGGCTTGGACGGGATGACAGGGATGAGCAATGTTGAGAAACATAATCATTTTGTTTAGCTTGAAATTGCTGAGAAACCCGCTGTTCAACAGGTTTCTCGTCCAATGGTGCTTCAATCATGTGTGAGAAAGGGAGCGTCGACGGTGTCCCCTGCAAGGGTCCAAAATCAGTACATTGATTTAAGATGGTTTAAGATAGCTACAAAGCAACATGAAGCCTTCTATGTTTAAAAGCACCTGGCCTTATGATGCTTTGCTGGGCGTTTGGCTGCACCCTTTGAAGCTGCAGGCTTTCGTTTTGGCGTTTTGGCGGACTTGCCATCCTTTTTTTTCCCCATGTTAAGAAGTTCATCCAAACCATCTAAATCTTGGTCATCCTCGGTGTCTCCATCCTCGATGGGTTCGTGGTCATCCTCCTCCGCATCCTCGTCCTCCTCCTCCTCAGCCTGTGTTCCCTTCTTCTTGTTTTTTGACCTTTCAGTCTTACCCTTTGTTTTGTTTTTCTTACCCTTTGTTTTGCTTCCATCATTGTCCGGAGACGACTCTGAAGACATAACTCTTGGCGGCAACGCATCCAGAGGAGCACCGGAAGAAGAACCTCAAACCATCAAAATCATCAATTGTTTCTTTGGGACTGGAGCACCAACCCCAAACCCTTTATCCCTAGCGGGCCTGTTTTTGCCACATGCTTCTCAATGGGTGTTGCTGTCCGGGCAGGCTGCGCCGTGGAGGGCTGCTCCGAACGAGTTGGAGGCGGGTTGGCCGCCCTGAGCATTTCGGCAAGATTGAAGGCCTGAGCTTGGTTAGGCTAAAGGCATTCTTAAGGAACGCTCAGTTCCACAACTCAAGGGTAAATCGTATGGTGCGTCGAGTTGCGGGCGCTCTGAAAGCACTTGTTGGACTTACCACTTGGCAGTCCGAATCGCTTCCACCATGATCCTCCCTCCTAACAGCCCTAGGTTTTGGGGACATTTATCCCTCTAGGCTCAGCGGACAGGAACTTGCTTGGGCCCTTTGATTCAACGTTTGGCTAATGATGGAAAATGATGGAAACATTTCGGAACTTTAGAAGAAGACCCATGTACTGTTGCATTTTTCCGAGCATCTTGCAACTGCTGGCATTGTATGGTTTCCTACGGCTGGCAGAAATGAGATAGGTTTGGTTCTGCCCACAAATTTGATTCCCCTAGCCTAGACATCTCAGCAAGCCAAACGACCAAACTGCCATCAAACTGCATAGTTAGAATCAGAAGGGAGGTAAGAGTAAGATATCAAGTTAAACGAACATCCGACATCCTTCAAAAGGTGTAGGTAGCAGGGGCACCAATACTGTTTTTTTTGTTGGCCGCTGAGCTGTAAAGGCTTTGAATCATCCAAGGGCAGGCAAGCTCTGGGGCCAACTTCGGAAAACAGTGTGGATTTGATCTGAAGAGCTTTGGTTCAAAACGGTTTTCAGCTGGGCTAGCTTGCACACTCTCACTCAGCTGACCCTCGGCAGGATTACAAAAGGCGGACAATGTTGTCATTCAGACTCAGCATGCCACTCAGAAGTGCAATCGGCCGGATCGGGACCAAACGTTTGGCACCATCGGATGTGCACTCAAGCCTGCAAAGAATATGTTTCAGAATCTATAAACGACCCATCATAGCGATGTTTGTTTCCTACACAAGGAGGGTAGCCTGAATTCATTGCTGAACCCCGCCTGCACCTCCAACCAAGAACCAGCTTGGACCCTTGCTTCATCCGATCCAGGGAAAGCTTTGCACCAAAGTTACGAAAACTGACATCAGATTCCTGTTTGTTTTTCTTTCCCTTTTTTTCCTTTTGGTTTCTTCTTGGGTTCGTCATCCTTGATGTCCAGAACGAACACCAATGACGATTCAGGGTTCACAGTTCGCTTGTCCCCATCAGCGCTGATAACGTGATGGCTGACTTTGACGTTCACCTGGCAAGGTCTAGTCTGAGATGCCCAACTCCCCAACTCACAACACCCGGCAAAACAAATTGTATGTGCACACACTAGATTGGGGTTACGAACCATCAAAACATCTTTCCATCCAAATGGATGATCCCTCACATTCCCTCACCTCACCACCATCTTCCAAGTTTAGAAGCACTTGCTCCAAGGTGGAGGGCGTGTCCACAACCGAGCTTTTGGCCAAGTGGTCTGGAAGGCCTTTTGCCTCCAGCACAAACAAGGTCGTGTCCATAACGGGGGCAAACAAGAACCATTTGCCACCAGAATCGGCCATCACTTCTTTTGCTTCCTGAGTTTGTGCGAGCGGTGGTCGGCAACATTCAAAAATCTTTGGGTACCTGCACACAATGAATTCTACTGTAATCCTTCCCAAAGATTGGCGTCCTAAACCTTTTGCATCTTGCTTGGAAAGGAGTTTTGGGGGACGCCGCTAAAGGCTAGGTTCACAGGCTCCCTTCACAAGTTGCTTTGTCTTAAGTGGTGGACCTGGACGTAGCTGAATAGTTCTTGGGTACAACCCAAACATTTCCGAGTGCGCAGGATAGTGTGAACTGTTGACGCTGGATGTTGGAGGTTATGGGCGGTGCTCAAGAAAACTTTAGAGGGTCCTGATTCTGTGAGTTCAAACAAAAGATCAATGCGATGGTAAGAAAATACATCCTGATCCTGCCTAGCGTCACTGCCAGCCCTCCATTCTCCTGAGCCAAAAGAGAACCTTAGTTACTTAGGCGATCTTAGGCGTTCTTCTCACAGGTTTCCCACAGCTAGTCCCAGCACATAGGTCCAAGATGGTCCAAGTGCAGGGAAGTAACATTTCCTTGTTTGGAAGGAACTCATTCTGGCCCTTCGAGCTTAGGAAGATGGACTCCCCATCGGTGATCAGCTGGGAACAGTTGTTGATGTTGATCTTCCACCTCAATGTTTCAGTGAGTCAAAAGGTTGAATACAAGGCCAGACCCATCGGGGGGTAAACTCACACCTCAATCAAAATGTTTCATTTGGTTGATGCCAGTGGCGGGTTTTTCAAAGCGGACACCTCCGATTCCGCGACGGTGTCACCAGATTCAATCTTGATCCGCTTGAGAGGCCGTTCCGCTGGAGCAGTGGCAGCCTTCCTTGGCTTGCATTTCCAGGCTTGCTGCTGGGCACGACCAGCTTTAACATAGAGTCAAAAAAACAGCCAGAATTAAAAGGGTTGAGATTGCCATTTGGGACAAGGGACTGGGCCTCATCAGGCTGGAGGAACTCAGGCGCTTCTTTGTTGAACTGCGCGTTGTGCTCTGCAAGCAGAGCGGTAGCACGGTCCCGGGTCCCCTCATGGTCCATGAACTTGCGCGCGTACACCTCTAGCACATAGAGAGCGCTGCCAAGTTGGCGGCAGACTTGGAAATCCTTGGGCGGTTCCTCGTTCACACCCTCCCTCAATGCATCTATGAGCGGCTGGAAGTTCGGAAACCCCTGCAGATCCAAAGTGGAGGATCTGCACATGTCATACACCTTGTTGCCAATACGCCTGGTCATATCGTCTGCTGCAGCATCAATCATGAGGGTCGCGCAAAGGGTGCGACGCGCTGCAGCTGATTCCTGTTCATTGGCAATAGGATGACAGTTCAAAGAAACAAGGACATAATATAAGTTCATATAAGTTCATATTTCATGTTTAAACTATAAAATGCTCTTGGGTTTCAGAATGTTTCGACTTCTATCTAATTTGGGCATCAGGATTTGTTTCATGTTGAGGGCAACGGTGCAACGGTCCTCCAAACAAGCAAAAGCAGGCCAGGCATCGTACCCCAAGACATCAACCAGGCATGTGGTTGCCACTGTCGATGGGCGGAGCTCGCTCAGTGTTTGCGTGATCAGGTGTGATCCCGCTGCTTCCTGGCAAGTGGCATTTTGGGCTATGTCATGAAAGGCTTGGAGGGTAAGTAAGGGCAGGTATTAAGGGTCTTTGGGTTGTCACCAAGTCGCCTGCCGAGCTTCTTGGCAATCGGTGAAAGCTCGGCCAAGATGAGGCAAGCTTCCAGTGGCCTAGTTTTTTTCAAGATCATCTGTTTGTACTCATCCCGGATTGTTTTCTTCATCAGAAACATCTATTTAAACATATTTAAACGAAGGTAGTGCTTGACCCGATCACCTCAAACAACCTCACTGAGTACAATCTGAACTACCTTTCTTGGATTGTGGGGAAAGACATTATGTGCGACAATGCTGATTCCTGGTGTGTGACCCTACCAAAACCAGGCTTGGCCGCCTCAGGCTTGTAGAAATCAGCGCGAGGGCACATGTTCACCGAGTGCACAACTCCACGCTTGAATGCTCTTGTTTGGCGCACGATGTTCTGCTTGTCATGGGCAATGACCAAGAGTCCGTGCAGGATTCCATCCCTTTTGCCATAGCAGGATTCCTTCGACCAGTCACGTTTTGCCCATGAAACCAAGTCCCCATTCCACTCGGGCAGAAACATTGCAACCAACTTTTATGTTTTGTTTGCTTGTCGTGTGTGGGTGTTGCACGGAGCTTTGAGCGGTCTATTTACAGCAGCAATTTGCAATGAACATCATACATGACTTTAGAACAAAGGGAAATGTATGAACATGTTTTTTGAAGAGTCAGCCAGGAGGCAGGGTTGAAGACCCATGTCATCTGGCGAACAAGCAGTGATTTGCCCTTCTCCGACAACTTCTTCCTTGGGGCAAACTACACGGGCACATAGGGACGAACTCTTTTCAAGCTAGGCTAGAAAAATATCAGCGTTGAAACCAAAACTGATTCTGATATAGTCTGAGGCTCTCCAGTCGGTACCTGACGTCTCGAATTTCCGCTTCCTCCCGCGTAGCAGTGTCGGCAGGATCTTCCTCCTCTTCAGTCTCCATCTCTTCGTCGGAGTTGTCCTCCTCCTTCTTGGTGTCCTCAACCTTTGCCGTCTCCTTTTTCACGTCACCCCTTGGCAAGTGTCCCAAAACCCACACATTGTCACACATTTGGCCCAATCTATGTACTATGCGCAACAATGACATGAATGGAATGTCGGAATGAACAAAAACCAGTCAGTAATAAGAAAGCACTTTAGAGCTGAGTGCAAGTGACTTGTCAAAAGACAGTTGTGCCGCACGGTTGCTGTGGATGACCACGCCAACCCCATTCCGCTTGAACTCGGTGAGCTTGTTGGCCAAAAAGCTCACCACAAAGTCTGATTTGGTTGCAGACACTATGCCAGCGGTAATCATATTGCACCAGAATACCATGAGGTGATCCGAGTGGTCCCTCACGTCACTGATCTCCTGCAAGCTCTCCGAAAGCCATGAGCTCACTTCTGGCATCACCGTAGAGACGCCATCAACACTTCGGCCACTGAAAACCCTGAGGTTGGATGCCATGTGCTCATGAACCAACTTCCAAGCACGGTTGTGCTGCTCCTAGACAGGGTACATGCGCTATATCAGTTTTCCAAGTCTTCCTATCACGCCACGCCAACCCTGCGTGTTTCATGAAGGTGACTCCAATCCAGAACAAAAATGATGTGCTTGGGTTTACTCCAAGATTCATTCCACTTTTCGTCATATTAAACATACCAAAAAGAGGGTTGATCCCAAACCTCCAACTGGCGCACAATCCGACTCCGTGTCTTCGCGGTTGTCTTCTCCGTCCTTGGCTGCACAGGCCAACAAAGGCTCCATGTGCAGAGAAAACAGGACGGAAACCGATGCCGGAGAGGGGCCAGGAAAGGGCAGAAAAGTGCAAGGTCCAACCAGTCCATGGTTATTCTAATCCAAGTGACAGAAGCTGGTTTTGAGCATACTTGATTTGGTCTCCTCGCAGCTGCTCTTCCCAAGCATTGAAGGCAGCTTCAAAGGATTTGTGCAAGGCGTTCTTGGTTCTGCTCTGAGCAGAGGAGATGAAGGCATCAACGGTCTCCCCACGAATCTGCAGGGTTTCATCCAGGGTGTCACCAATAAATTACTCGTAGACTATGAAACCACCAACGCACAACCGGATGATGGGTAGTTTAGGCAACACCCAACACCTGACCTCAATCACAAAGTTCAGCCGCCGCCAATCAAACTCTTGGGCAGCCTTCATCGCGCTCGAAAGATCTGCGTCCAGTGAACTTAGATGCCGCCCGCAGGAAAAAACAGGAAAGAAAAACACCTCCCCCGACAAATGCCAAAGACAAAACAATACCCATTAAAATTTATCACTCCCTCAAATTCATCAAAAAAACCAATCACATTTGGGGGATACATTTTACCACCAAATTGTGACGGGGTTTCTGGAAACCCAATCACAATCTACCTTTTGAAAAAATATCCAATCAAACCTGGAACATTAAAAAGTATCCACCAACTTTGATTGGGTTTGTCTTGACTTATTGGATTTGCGACGGGGTTTCCAGAAACCCCATCACAAATAGGGTTAGTTTTCCTTCTCGCCAAGATGATTGGGTTTTTTTGGCCAGTGGCCGAGGGAGTTTGACGGGTTTTCTGGAAACCCAATCACAATTTGAGGGTTGGATTCGGCTGCCAGCCAACCAATCACACTTGAGCTACATGTGTCGGCGACCAGCCAAACCCATTAAAGCCTAGGCACCCTTTGTGAAAGAGTTCTACATGTTTCTCGACAGTGGCGCTGGGGAATTCATTGTGGAGCTTTGGCAAGAGCCAGCACCATAAGCAGCACACATCGAAAAGCGTTTTCTGATCTTCAAGGTCCCGTTGAGCAGCTTTCTAACAGGGTTCAAGAACTTTGACCAAAAGTACCTGAAAGTATACTTTGTGCTGTGAAACAACTCTACTCTGGTCCTTGGCTTTCGTGGTCGCATCCTTAGAAACACGCTTGTTGAAGTCCTGGCAAGGTGGGAAAGGTGTCCCAACTACTCTTTTGAATCCTCAACGGACACATTTGAGTCCTCAACGGCTCTTTGTGCCCAAAGCACCGCAGTCTCTTCACTGGTCGTGAGGATTTCTTGGAACTGCTGCTGGCCGTTGTACTTGGCGCTTTCATAGCGTGAAGAAGAGGATGGGACCCAAAAGTCGTCAGCAAGGATCTCCAGAGGAATTCCTACAGGCTTGTGGGTATATTGAACAGATGCATACAGCTTGTTTAGCAACCCCCACCTGAGCATTCGTGTCTGTGCAGATCGTAGTGTTTATGGATCAATTGGCAAAGTGCATCCGGCGCTCTCAGCCTTAATTTGGAAACACGCTCCATGAACAAGACCCCAACTGGCTCGGCTTAGATTTCCCTGTACCAACACCTTTGAAGCTCAGGGGCATGTTGTATATCAAGCTCTTCTTTGAAGAACACACTCGATGCCGTTTTACCGTACACATCCGGTTATAGTCTGCAGAAACTTTTGCAAGTATGTCCTTCAGGGGTCTGGTGGCCCCTTTGGATTGCCGCCTCTCCAGAGATATCGCCTGACGGAAATCCGCCAGGAACTGCAGCGGGCTTGGAAGCTGCTTCTCCGCCGTCAAGTTCGACGTCCCTGGGCGAATATATGAGCATGAACCGGGGGGGTGGTTTCTTGGCACGTTTGCTTTTGGTTGTCATCAAGGCACGGAGAGATGCCAGAAAGAAATGTCCAGGGTTTTCATAGTGGGTGTACGCACACCGAATCCACCGAAAGGATTGCAGTAGCATCTTCATGGACTCGTGATTGAGTTTCTCTTCTGGCATTTCCTTAGGAGGTGAGATAACAGAACATTTGGACAGGGGTTGGGTGATCAAGGTCTTGAGAACTTTAAGCCCTGCCCAAAAAAAGGAAATGTGTGTTTCACAGACATGGCTCGAGAGCATCAATGATTCCACAAATTCCTCCCATTATGAGGCATTTGCAGAAACCATCAACGAATCCAACCGTGCCCGGCTTCACGTGACGCGATTCATCACAATGCGGGAATTTGCATTCTATAGCCTCCGAATAGCTCTTGTACCCGCATCGTAGGAACTCCCGTATGTGTATCTCAACTTGACACGTAGCAGGGAAGACTGCAGGGTTTGAAAGAGGTGGTCAGAACATGCTTTCTGCCAAACTTTACATTCTTCAAAACACAGGGCAACTCTTTTCACAACACCCCACATCCATTCTTTGCATCCTTGCTCAAGTCAAACATCGTCAAATCCAACCAGAACTCTGGAATGGAGGATTGCGGCACCAGTGTCAAAGGTGACTTCAAAGAAGCACCTGTGTCAAAGCGCCTGATGACCAACTGGTTGATGACCTGCGCGTTTCTCAATGATGAGCATGGTTCACCAACAAAGTCTCAGGGCAGGCCTCATGGAGCTTAGTTGGATCAGGGAAGCGTTTGGTAAGCCAATCTCCGAGGTTATCTTCTGCAATGACCTCGCTTAGAAAAAACACTTGAGGCTCTGATCGAAAATCAACTGAGTTCCTTACTGATTCAAAGAAAGTCAGGATCTCCAAAATGGGCTCCGGAAATTCAGGCTCCATGGTCTATGTGAGACTACAGGTCGTCTAAGTGTGTAAGAATGACACAAACTTGTTGAAGAAAACCACACATGACATGTCCGCTTCTCTGTGGACAGAAAAAGGCACGGCAAGGTGATGTGGGAGGTGTGGGCCACCCATTGCACACATGTTCAGCCTTTGTTTGTCCTTCAATGTCACACACGCAGACTTCTTACCAACGTCCCTCAGCGCTCTCAACGATGGAACACCACCTGTAGTTCATGCGGTCGGGGAGGGGGTGGCCTTTGGCCAAGTTGAACCTGTCCATAGTTGAATGAGGCCTTTGGCCCAGCTTCCACAAATTCCAAACAGGGATACCCCTCTCTGACCCGTCCAGCATCGCATAGAGTCTTGTAGTACTGGACCGCCCGACCCATTGTCGGGAAGTCCAGAGAAATGGATTCCGCCAAGGCGAGCAGCTCTGCGCGCCGTTCAGGTTCTAAAGATTGCTGAACGACATGTAACGTTGAGTTGATCCGATTTAGGAAGGCTTCAGTTTCCCCGATCGATGCTTGCGGAAAAACAAGCAAAGGATCCTGCTGCAAACATGAATCTGACATGTGTTGCTTCACTAGCGCAAACACGTCCTTCCCATTCTGCTCCTGCCGTAGCCTCCGTGGTAGCCGCTCGTCTGCTTGAACATCTCCAGGGATTCCTGGCGCGCTGAGCCCGCACAGCTGGAGACCACATATGGTTGCCAGTCCTTCACGTGCCAGAAATGTAAACATTTGTGGCACTTTCTTTGGTTCTTCTCCAGGTTTTGGCTTTCTATCTTTGAAGGCGTTCTTCAAAGAGAAGGAATACGGCATGATGGCATTGAAGTCCCGAACCTAGATTTAAGTCGTCTTTCAGACATGTGACATATGTGCAATGTGAAAACACTGTGTCACCCTAAGCATGCAAACAGGCAACCGTCTCTATCACTTCCACAATGCATTCCAATCCCTGCTTCTCAAACGTTGCTGGTAGCTTCTGCTGTAGACTCCTGCAAGATGAGCCATGATGGGGGTATGACGTGGCTGAAACATCTGAACCAGTCCTTTGGATGTCCCGGATCGTGTGCAAATTGGGACATGTGCTGAGCGCGCTTCTGACCACACTGAGGCATGCATCTGTCAGAAACATAAACGCAGTGCAAAGGCCCATAGATCTAAAAGTCACAAATCTTTGAACCCTGCCTACATCCTCGTGGGTGTGGCCCACTTCCAGGTGCGCCATTGTGGCGGCGGAAAAAAAACCGCCCTGAACCATACTGATGCAAAATTTTGCTGTCAGGCTGTTGCGCACCTCTCGGGGACAGTTGTCCCCCCTGAAGCCATAGCCTGGGGAGGAGAAACTTAAAGTTCATGGAAACAGGCGGAACACTCAGTCGCCCACTCGTAAGGAAATGTTTTGTTCTCCCTTCGGGATCTCTTGAACGCGTGGTTGATGGATCTCATCGCCTTGGGTGGCGTTGCTTTTCAACATTTTTCAAATCATTCCATGCACCCATCAAGTTGCCTTCCAACACAAATTCTTTGAACAAGGCACCACCTCTAGCGTCCAGTTGCTTCCTCCTGGTAGCCCCTCATCCGACAGGTAAAAGTAAATACCCCACCCGTGACAGATGGCACAGGTGAGTGTGATGGCTGTGCCTTACACAACAGTTGTTTGACAGGAATGATTCGCGCAAACCAGCAAAAGCACACAGTTGAATCACATGTCGGTTAAGATGCGCTTTGTGGCTTCATATATACTCTTCTTTGGAGCCCGGGATTTGCACCACTTCGGCAAAGAGCACTTAGCTTTGTCGTAGGAGTCAATAATGAGGGTTAGGAGATCTTTCTGGGTCCGGGCCCTTGCCCGGGCCAAATAGTAGATATGGCGGTCACGGTATTGACGTACGAAATGCCCCAGGAGCTCGTCAGAGAGCTTCGCGTGTGTCAGGAAATCCTAAATCCACTGCTGTGTCCAGTGTCCAGGGAAGGTCATGGAAAACATATCACCCAGAACAACTTTGTGACAAGGCACTGAACAAGATTCAATCCTGCTCTGTAGCCGTACGCAGGTCAGGCATTTGCTGTGGTTGGATTGTTTATGAAACCTTAAGCATGGCCGCCATCGCTTGCAAGCCTTGTAAAAGGTAGCCCGGCTGGCTGCCATCTCTCCAGATGTTTGCGCGAATGCTCGGTAGAGCAGAAATAGTGTAGAAAAGTTCCCGTGCGGGAGCTCTTTGGTTGGAAGCTCACTTGGTTCAACATTTCTCAGTTGCAAACAAGGCCCGGTGAGGTGAGAATCCACCAGTTTGTCTAGGAGGTCTTGTCGCAGAGCCGCATCGCTCATGCTCAAGAGGTCTTTTGGAGCGTCCCTTGGGGATGAGCAACAGCAAATTTGATTCTGTTGGGGGTGTTTGGGATTGGTTGGGCCCAAAGGTTGTTTAGCCTAGCCGCGCTGACGTCATAGTCTCGGCAGCCGTGTAGTATAGATGAACGAAATACCCATCCACCGAGGCTGTCTTTTCAGCAGGACGAGCGCATGGACCTGGGAAGGCGCAAACAAGCAGGTGCGGTACAGAGGGTGAGTGGACAAAAAACGACTAAGTAGGAGAGGGTCAGAGTACAGATGAGGCACCACTTGGAAGCTTGAGGGTTCTCTGGTCTTTCCCATTGAAGACTCTCCCACATCTTGAGAGCCGGCCCTTTCCTATCCCGAGCAACCGCAGCCACGATTGCCTGCACACCTGTACTCCTGAGACAGACACGTATTGTCAACCCAGCGGTTCAATGTTCTGAGATGCACCAAGCGCACAGTGTTTCCAAACAAACGAATAACCTGGCCTGCAAGTGACCAAACCCGCTTGGATGCTGATTGTGTTTCTGCCTGAAGTGCCCAAAGAAGAGCATCCTGAGTGTCCTTTGGCAAGTGCCAAAATGCCCTCAAAAGGGGCACCAGCACCTGTCCTGAGATTCGGCAGGCACAGTCGCAGCCAGGATCCTGCAGCACCCGGCGAACTCTATCAGGACAAAGGGCCCTCCGAGCATACTTGTCATGCTTTGGGTTCTTCTTTTTTGTTTTCCCTGCATGTAGCGATTGTAGCCTTGCAAGGTTCAAGTCTATGTTCATGTTTGGTGCTTCCGACTCATCACTGCAGCCAGACTCCCCAGAGTGTGACACGGCGTCGGAATCAGACTCAAAATCACTGGCCATCGAGTTTGGGTCATCTGAGCTGGAACTTCCGGACCTGAGACCGTGGATTTTGCCCAAGGAACCCATGGGACTAGCTATTAGTAGCCAAGTTAAAGTCTAAGTCTTGGCAAGTGGCCCGCTAGAAGAGGAGTCATAGCGCCACCGCTGTGCATTCACTGCAGGACCGGTGATGAGTTCATCAGCGTCATCATCCCACCGGCCAAGGACCGGCATGCCGCCCCATGTGAAACCCCTACATGGAGCCCCCTGCAAAATACAAAAGACTGTTTGAGAAATGTCTAGAGTTTCGAATCTAGATGCAGTATTGTGCAAAGCGTTTAGTTTTCCGATCCGATCGAATTTCAGGCTTCACGGGCAACGTCCATTCAGGCCTTGAATTTCATGCCTCGAAGAGAGACACAGTAAACAGTAATCATTAGGGCTCTGCGCTCAAAGCCTCCTTCATTTTTTCAGAAGAAGTGAGCATCAAAGCAGTGCATATGGCGACAGCAACAGTCCGCACGTGCATCGCGTTTCCACCAAGTTCATGGAGAACCTCAGGGATGGCCATCATGGTGAAACACGGTAAATTTTGGAAAACAACTGGTAGGTTTGAGTTATATAGTGTTATTGCGCAAAGCTACATTTTCAGAGCAGCAATCCAAGACTAAACGGTGTATCGGCATCCCCATGAGGAGCATCAGCTCTCTCCCCACCAAATACCGCTGTGTGGTGGGAGTCACCACCAAGAATTTGCCATGGGGCCTGAGATCATTTGCTCCACTTTGCAAAAGCACGGTCAGGACATGTGATGACATGTGAGAGCAAACCTTGGGCTAAGGGTGAAGCGTGAGGCACATAAGCGGTTGATCCGTGGTCCTGGTGATGGGCAAATGCCCAAGATTCTGCGAAGTGTTGGAGCAAGCTGGGGGAGACCCCATCCACAAAGTCAGCAAATTCATCACCTGGAAGGAAGTGCCAGCTTCACTTTTAACCCAATTGTAAAGTTTGAGTCAATGATTCATAATGTTTCACTATTTTCACTGAATCTGAACGCTTGAATGCTTGTCCGCAAAAAAGACAAGCCTGAACCTCGCGGGCAGTGGAAATCGTTTCAGCTGCTTCAGGGTGGCTTTCATAGAAAAGCCCCTTGGAGTGAGCAATGTTCACCTAACAGAGTCTGAAGGGGGTTGGGGATACAAAATACAACAGGTTGGCTTCAAGTCTGATATATAATAATTGATTGAAGATGTGGCCTTCTTTTCCTTCGCCCAGTCTTTGTGAATCTTGATCCACTTGGAGCCGCGATTGACCTTCCTTAAGCAGGTTTGTTTTCACTGATGACATGGAGAGGCACTGTTCTATTGTAAGTCATGTGAACTACCTTGGGCTGAAGGTCCTCTTTGCATTCTGTTGTTGACGAGCAATACGGCGGGCACGGTCAGCTTGAACACTTGGATGGTGATCTGGAAGTAGCAACGACGACCTCACTTCAAACTTTAAACCTGTTTGTGAAGGCACTTTCGAAGGGGAAGCTAGTGCAAGCAAGGAAAGCGCTTTCAACACTAACTCTCATCCCAAGTGACCATTTATGCTTTGGTGGTTGCTTCATTTGTCCAAGAAGGCGCTCGGCATACTCATGTGTTGAGTTTTCGTGAAGCATGTCCTCCCTAATCAAGAGGATGTATAGCCTTCGCCGGCTACAGGGAGCCCCATATGATGTTGGGTTCAGGACCATGCAGAAGTCTTTGTACCTGGGAGAGTGGTTGCGATCCAAAATAAATAAAGTGGCAGCTCAAACTTCGAAACTTAAGTGCAGGTAAGCTACCCAGGGACATTCCGATGGATTAGCGCCAGAATAGTATCCAAGCAGCGCTTGAATCCCATCACGTTCTCCAAGATGGTAATCTTAGGGCAGATAAGTCTTCTGAATCATGTGGATCGTTGTGGGATAGCTGCAGTCAAAAAACAAAAGGTCGACAATTTCGGATATGTTTGATGGTCTGGAATAATTGTCGTGCATTGATGTCACGAAGAAGTTGCGACGCTGTGTGCAAAGTCGAGAAAGGAGTACATGGGAAGCCGACGATGTACAGGCACAACTGGCACAGGGTAAAACATCTCCAGGCACATTCACTGGTTTCACAGACTGCCATGAACATCACACTCAGCAAGATCACCGACGGCCTTGTTCAATAGATGGGAGACCCTTTGCTTGAATATGTCCCGCCCACACCTTATAGCAGAATGTTGAAGGCACACACGCATACCGGTAGCAAAACACTGCAACACACTATAAAGATGTGGCAAGGAGCATCTCACACTCTGGGAAGTTTGCCTTCAAGAAGTCCCGCCGGCCGTTGTTAATCTCAGAGGCCCTCCTTGGAAGCAGCGGACCATAGCGGTTCCCACCACCCCCAACACATCAGCACATGGGCTAGGGCAACAACCTGTACCGCAAGCAGCCCTCCATTCCACATGCAGAGAAAAGCATTTGCAGTGCCATCCAAGGAGTGTCTGCCCCAGAGCCTGGTGACAGGAGCCCAAGCAAAGAAGTGTACCTACAACATACCTACAACATGTTGTATGAGGCTTTTGAATTGCTGGCATGGTGCAATCACTTGCAAACGAAAATTCCCCGCTCCAGGTTTGCAACCACATCAGCAAACCTCAGGGAACAAAGAACCATCAAACCAAACATGTTCCAAATGCCTGCCTGAAGGCATGCAGCCAAAGAACCGGCAAGCCTAGCAAAGACAGGCCCAATCTCTAAGTACTCCTTTTGATGATCCTCGAGCATATCCTGACAAGACTAATCCAATTAGAACCCTTCACCAGTTCCCAGAAAAAAAGCTGTCCTCCACATCATTCTCAGAGCTCTCGCTGCACGAGGATGAAGAGTACCGCCAGCCCATGGTCAAAGGTTGATCCAAGTTTGAGCTTTCCCGGCTATTGGCATCAAGACCCCAAAGACCCACATGCATTCTGGAAAAGACCCGCTTGCAATTAGACATGGTTAGTAGCTAAACTGTGTTCAAGAAGTCGGAGCAAAGGTAGCAAAGGATCGTACTCGCAGGCCCCTTCGTCTCAGGGCAAACCGGGCAGGGTCCATTTCGACTGAATGTCCACTGACCAGACGACCTCTTGTTGCATTGCTTTGTGCTTCTTTTCAAATGTCATGTGCAAATATATATATATATATGGTACCGATTGCTACAGTGTGCATGTATGTATATATATATATATATAGAGTAGTGGTTCGGTCAATAGATTGACGAGGGTTGCCTTTCATGATCATTTTGGATTCACAGTAGATTCACAGCAACACAACTTGCAAAAAAAACACGATAGATCGTTAAGGAATACCAAATACAATTGCCCCAGGCATTCTGGCCCCGCATACTGCGATGTATTTGGCCGGAGACCCAGCACATGGCCAGAGGAAGCAATGGAAGCCCACGGATGGAGTCCAAAACGGCTAGACTCTAGATTCTTTTTGGTAGCCACAATCATCATAATCGCTCACTTTGAGAGTCACGTCCGCAATGGTAGTCTTGAGCCTCACCACAATGCAATGGTAGTTGAAATCCCAACAAACTGCAGCCTGTGAGGGATTGTTTGGGGACTTTTGAGAGGGGCCAGGGCAGTTCCAATCTGCTTTGAACCCAGATCTGGATTCATACTCAAAAAAGTCTTAAGTAGATAGAAGCTGACAGGCTGATAGACAGAGGGAATAATGCTTGCCTGTCATCCACTGTTGGTGTTGCCACATATATATATATATATAGTAATACCCGGCTGATTCTCGCAGTTCGGAGCATGCAGGTTGATGCTTCATCCTTTTATGGCCTCACGAACCTTCGCCCGAGCCTTTGGGGCTACATGGCGTTTTTCTATGGGTCAAAGAGGTGGACACATGTGACCAATTCTCCAAGAAACAGAGAGAAATCAGAAGATGAGCTGCAGCTGCACTGCGGCTTTGTGTCAAGCTCTTGTCGTACAATTTGCATCAACAGAACGACAGTGGCCTGTTCGTCAATTCGAGGCCTGAAGCATTTCTGCGAGTTCTGCATCAAGGACTCCTTCAACGAGGCTGCTCGCAGGGAAACGGCCTAGGGAGTGCAGAGTCCTTAAATGAACTCCCTACTAGTTTGGAGCCTCGTTTGTAGGGCGGCAAGAAAAGCGAGAAAGCACAATTTGGTAGATACGCTAGCCGCTAGCCTTTGCTAGCCAATCAACTTGCAGAAGGCGCAAAGAAAGATGCGAAAAAAGCTGGCCTTTGACTGGCCTCTGAAAGAAACTGGTTGTACGGATAGAAACTGCAGAAGCTAGTTTTCACTAACATAGCTACCAGT